TTTGCTGTCCTTCACAGCCTGGAGTAATTCACAGGTTTAATAAGGCACTTATGGGTGTTTATCCTCCAGGCTGTTAACTGAAGTAATTAAAAAGACCTGGCATCAGAATGGACCCCTGCAAAAATCCCTTCAATATGTCCCTCCATTTTGACAACCACTGATAATTAGCACTTGAGGTACAATTATCTCACCAGTTTTGCACTCACCATGTGGTCATATCTTCTTAAGACAGGGTCAGGACAGCCAGTGTTAAAAAGCTTCCTAAAGTCAACGCATATGACAGCTGCTACTTTTCACTTTATGCCTAAACAATTGTGCCATAGGAGGACATCAGACTGGTTTGTCAGCATTTGTTCCTGATGAGTTCGTGGTGGCTGTTGTCCATCCCCTCGTTGCATTCTAGGTGCATGCAAGTACCTTGTTTAATGAGTTGTTCCAGAATTTTTCTGGGAATTGAGAAGGACTTTAAATTAGGATTAAAGAAAGCAGCTGACAAAGCATAAACAAGACCGATTTGGGTGAGCTCTATAAAACTAATGAGGTAGGAAGAAGGTTGCTAATATAGGATTATAATAAGGACAAGTAGGTCAATCTATTGAACACTTTAGACACGTATCCCCTGAAGTTAGTGAGTTGGTGGATGTGGGGCTGCTCCCCTTCTCAGTAAGGTGGGCTCCATCCTTCCCTGCTCATGGCGCCTGACCCAGCAGTTAAGGCAACTAAAACCAAAGTCCTTTTGGCAGTATCAACTGTGTAACCATGCATTTATCTCCAGATGTCCCTATTTGAGTTGCAGTTAGGGTCCTGGGGCCAGGAACACACCGAAGCCCCCGAGCCCTTCGCCTGTGAACCCGGAGCCCCTTAACCAGTTTTGATCCGACCAAAACCAACCTACGGTCCCTCACGGCAGCATCATCGGTGCCCACAAGGATGTGCGCTGTTATGGAGTGGGCCACTGGGGCAGGTGACTATGGCAATGTTTCGATAACATCCCTGGTACGGGCTCTTGGGAAACAGCCTGGCTCTCCCGACGTCTCCATCCCCGCAGCCCTCTCATTTGAAAGCCTCCGTCCTTTACAGTCAGAGCTGCCGAACTGAAGATAAGCTTGGGCTTCTATGGGCTAAGTAGCAGACTCCAGAGAGGCATAAGGAGGGAAAATGTTTTATCTAATACTGAGGAACTAATTTTCAAGTAGCTCAAATTATACTCAAGGGTACTAAATGTTCTTGGCCTCCCTCTTACGGGAGAAAGCGGTATTGCTGGAGACTCTCTTCAGACAGAGAAAATCTCTGTCCGCGGAGGGGCGGGTGGTTATAGGAAGTGCTCGTGATAGTTGGTAAAGTTTTAAAGTGAGCAGCCTTTTCTTTGCAGTAAGCACACCAAACACTAAAAATCCTTTATATTTCTAAAACACACTACAGCCTGATTGCTTTTGAATTAGAGCAGCAAGGAATGAGACAGATTCAGATGCCACGGTGGGTAAACCAGTCCCCTACTTCCCACCCTATCCTCACAAGAGACAGACAGGCCTTTTGCCCTCTCTTGCTCTTGCGTCACTGAACTCTGCTCGCTTACAGGGTTGCCAACCCCCCCACGCCATCCCTCCCAAGCGCCCAGGAGAAGCTGCTTTCTGCCAGCCCAGCAGCCCCTTCCCCTCCACAGAAGTCCTGTCCCACCCAACGCAGGGCCCTGGATGTGCCTGTCCGGCTGTTTCTCTGCCTCTCTCCCAGTCTCCACCAGTTTCTCCCAGCTGCTCTCCAGAAGCCACAGTCTCCCCTCCGGACCTGCAGCCCAGCACCCGTGATGTGGCAAACGGCAGCCCAGCCCCAGCACAGAAACCAGGTGGGCTGGGTAGGTTTGCGCAATAGCTTGTGACCGGACAAATGAAAGAGCCATAGAGTTCATCACAGCTGAATTTTCTTTTCAGCTAATATGGTTGGAAAAAACAGACAGTAATTCATAATTTTGCTTCCCACACAAAGAAGAGCTGGTGTGCCTGAAAATCTTCTCTGCTTTTATTTTCCTATCATATAAATTACTCTAATGAAAGACACTGTCTCTTACATTCTTCTCTCTTATTAACACCACTGTTACTTTTTAATCCCCAACATTTCCATTTTCTAGCCCGAGACACCTCCCCTCCCTAAGAAAACACATTCAAAAGCCTCTCCTGGACCTGGAAACAAAGCATGAAAGCGATTCATTACTAGAGCACATTACTAGGTTCATTACTAGAGCACTGCTCCTTCTGAGGTGAGGGGAAGGATCTGAAGATCTGGAGACAGAGGTTACACCACAAAGACAAACGTTGCTGAGTGCTCTCCAGTGAGGTCCTGCCTCCTTAAAAAACCCGAACCAGGGGTATGGTGTAGCTCATGGTGCCTCAGCGAGGGAGTGCAGCTCCATGGGGACCTACTGAGAAATTGCAGGGACGTTTGGACTGTCGCTCTTGCTAATCCATGCGTCAAGCTGAGTTTGGTAAGAGGAGAACAAAATGTGGAGTGTAGTTCCCCAGCTTTCCTTTAAGCATTTAAGTCCTTTCCCGGAGTGCTCGTGAACAGGAAAGTCGTACTCTTAAGGGTGCCTGTAGAGAGTGGTTTAATTTTCATGGGCTTTGGGATGGGAATGTGACTCAATTTAAATGTCGGGAGGGATTTAGTTGTAGTGAACATGGCCTGCTGTTCTGCCTGCAGCTGCCAGCAGTTGTTTAATGTACAGAATAACACAATTATTATGAAACATAAAGCCTGCTCAGTGGAGCTGTAACAATGGCAGCCATTTACAAAGACGGCTCTTACTTCTCTGTGACTTTCTCTGCAGTAATTTCATCTCTCATAACCTGCTCATGGAAGGACTCAGTTAAAAATGATAGGAGAAGATGAGCATTAATCCTGTCCACAAATGTGGACACGTTCACATGTCCTCCGCATAACTGTTCAGCAAGACCTAATTCTGTTGGGGGCTGAGAGGGCTGTTACTGAAATCAGTGGGAGAAATGATCTGACAGGGACTCAGGTTTGGTAGATGGATATGGTAGATATAACATTTCTAAAGGTCCCACTTTCAATTAATCACTAATTATCACTTGTGGTCATAAATGATCAGCGAATGATGAGGCAGTACTATTATTCTGAGCAATAGCCTTTTTGTTCTCCAAACAACACAAAAAGACTGAATCTCTTCTCAAATGCAAAACTAATCCTACACCATTGAGTCATTACAAAAATTTCCATTTAAATCCCAATTTCTTGGCAAGGAAAAGAAAGAAGTCTCCTCTTATCCCTGACTCACTATTCCTCCCCTACGCCCATGGTTCTTCAACATCACCAAATTTCCAAGCCCTGGCATAGCTGTGACACCCAGTGCCACATCTGTTCGTGGCCCTTGGGAGGCAGAAGACGCTTGTGACAAGCTCACTGGGGATCCTTGGAGTTGGTGCTCACTCTTGCTGTGTAACAGGAGGCCTTTCTGGAGACAGTTCCTTCTCTTCTGCCATGCCAGCTCTCAGTCAGCTCAGTTATTTCTGCGATAGGGAAAAAAGATCTTCCAGATACCTACCACCAAAGTTAACTATAACAAACACGAATCCCTCTCACACGTAGGTGGGATGTAAAGGTGGGCTCACAATGTCCTTTGCAACTAAACAGGACGGTTCTTGACTATGAGGACAGGCTGGACAGAAACTCAGTGGAAATCTCACTGTTCATAGTTAGTTTTGACACAGGCTGCAGGATTTGCAGTAGTTCCTTATTTTGCCTTGCCTATGCTGAAAAATGAATATCTAGTCTTGCATAGTCCTCCCTGACCTCGGAGGTATCCCTCAGAAGAGCAGTAATAGTTGGTCCCTGCCTGGCAGCGTCACCACTAGCAGTTCAATCTGTAGCTATACTGCCAGCCACGGCTGTTCCCAACCCCTCCCTGGGAACCCTCTGGGCTCAGTCATGCCCCAGCACCCATCAGCCCACTGTGGTGACCGACGGTGCAGTTCCACAGCCGTCTCAACCTCAACCACTCTGTGCCAGGGCTCTGTACTCCAGCCCTCCCCTGCTACCCTGACAGCACCTTCCTGCCCTCCCCGGCTACCAGCACACGCGTACTGAACTGGGTCAAGGAGCTTGTCAGGGAACAGAGAGGGCCGGCTGCTCCCGAAGGGTCAGGCGCCAGGAGGGACACCACAGCCAACGGGGCAGGGGCAATGCCTGTCCCACCGCCCTGGCGCAGGGCAAGCAGGGCAGGGCCAGGGACTGCAGCAAGATCCAACCGAGAGCCCAGATCACCAGCCAAATTCGTGGAGACAAGGCAAGCCTGAGGTCAAGCTGGGAAGTCAACCTATGGGTCAGGGTCAGGATGCTGGTGGGGGTAACCAGCATCAGACATAGCCCAGTGATGGCCAGTGAGATCCATGGTGATGAGGCAGGTCTGAGGTCAAGCTGGGAAGTCAGCCCATGGGTCAAGGACTGGATCAACAGGCTCCATGGGCAGAGGCAAGGCTGCGGCTGCGCTGGAGATGGGCGCCCCTACAACAGCTCAGGCAGAGACTGCAGGGCCCCTCTCGAGGGGTTTATGCTTTTGCGTAAGTACTTGCCGGTTTTACAGTACAAGTTTGTTCACGTGTGTTCACTGACACAAAGATCTAATTCTCTTTCAGGTACATGAGTTATCACAGAAAAATGGAAATGTTGCTATGAAGGCATGGCTGGAGGTCTCGAGTCCAACAGCCCAACTGAAGCAAGACTGTCACAATATCAGACCAGGTGAGCCACGGCTTTGTCTAGGTAAGCCTTGGAAATCTCCAAGGATGGAGATCACACAGCTTGTCTGGGTCACCTATTGCAGGCTGCACGACCCTCCTGATGAGGACGTTTCCCTGCCCCTTGGTATATCACCTGATGCCAGCAAGGAAAATACGGCTCTGCCATCTCTGCAGCCACCCCACAGGCTGTTACATGTTATTACTGGAGCTTGCTTCCTCTTTCCCCACTTCTGCTGAACAAAGGCCATGTTCTCTGGACTCCTGACCATCCTGGCCGCCGTCTGCAGGACACCTGTCCAGGTCTTCCACATTCTTCCTCACTGGGGACCCTGGACAGGACCGAAAGTTGCAGGTACTCCAGTACTGGATCAAAGAGGGAACAACAACCCCCTGCAATGTGCTGGTCACGCTTCTCTGCACGGAGCCCGGGGTGTACCTGGACTTCCCTGCCACAGGAGCTCGCTGACGGAAGACGCGTTTATGTGCAGACCGGCTGGCGTTCGGTGACACAACCGGTGAAAGACGGGAGAACCCTGGCTTTCCTGTGACTACTGGAACACGCGTATTGTAACTGGCGCCGCACAGCTCTGGATTTTGGCTCGATTTTGAAAACAAGCATTTTCCAGTCCTGCCTAAAAAACCAGTAACCGCGAATAAGCCAGG